GCCAACATCAAAAAACATTAGAAAAACACTTTATAAAAACAAAACAAAACATAATTTCATGTCCAGGTTTACTTTCTGTCCATAAATCTTGTCCTTCTTTTGTCCAATATTGGACAAACCTAAATAAATAATGAAGCAGTTTAATAATGGAGAAGCTATTTGTCAGCTTTATTTTTCTAATATATAAAAACTATTTATTTTCTGAGAATGTGTTTATTTAAGAGCAACATTCAAATGAACAAACATGTAGAAAACAGACTATATTCTATTATTTTCCATGTGACTCCCAGATTGATCATTAATAATCTAGAAATAAGTAAAAATGTATTAAAACAAGTGTATTTACCCTTAATTTTAATAGGTAAATAAGATGATCTGCCAATGGAATGAGTATTTTTTTTACTCTTAAAATAATATAATTGAATAATATGTGCTTGTAATAAGACAATGCAATTGCTTTTTCTTATTTTAGCTGTACATTGTCTTGTTCCATTGGCAAAGTGTCTCATTTACCGCCTCCATTCAAGACAAAATACACTTATTTTAAGAACAAAATTAAAATTTTGTGCAGTGCAGTAAAAGGAGCACTGCAAAATGATCTAAAAATAAATCAAAATGTCTTAGACTAAGTGCATTTATCCTTAATTTGAGAAGGTAAATAAGACGATTTGCCAATGGAATGAGTATCTTTACTCTTAAAATAAGGCAATTAGATAATATACACTTGAAATAAGACAATGAAATAGTTTCTTTCTTATTTTAAATGTAAATTGTCTTGTTTGATTGGCAAAGTGTCTCACTTACCTCCTAAGTTCAAGAAAAAATGCACTTATTTAAAAAAAAATTTGACTTATGTAGATTTAGATTTTTTTCTAGTGAGAGCACACTGCAAAAGACTGAAATCTAAATAAGTTTCTTATAATAAGTGCATTTGAATTAAAAAGGTAAGTGAAACACTTTGTTAATGGAACTAGACAATTTACATTCAAAATAAGAAAACAGTTGCAATATTTTATTTTAAGTCCATATTATATAATTATGTTATTTTAAGCGTAAAAGTCCTCATTCCATTAGCAGATCATCTTATTTACCTACTCAAATTAAGATGAAATAAACTTGATTTAAGAAATGTTTGCTTATTTCTAGATCATTTCTAAAGGAAAGCATCAGACGGCTGCTGAATGCTCAGCCTCGTCTGAACATGGCGTGTTTAGAACAACACTAATAATTAAACAGGGACTGTGGGACTTTGTCCGCTGCCATCCTGTCTGCTCGCTGCCACGTCAGCCGGCTTTCTTCACAGCAAATTATTCTCTCATCAGCTTTTATTTCCTTCATCTAAAATGTTGGTCTCATGCATCAGGATGCATGAAGCTAATTTAATCCTAGATGTTTGTGACGGATCTATTAAAGTACAGATGCTCAGGAATCTGCAGCACAATAGGAAAAAATCTATATCTAGATAAGTCATTTTTTTTCTCAAAATAAATGCATTTGTTCTTGGATTGAGGCGGTAAAAGAGACATTTTGCCAATGAAAAAATGTACATTTAAAATAAGAAAAAACAATTGTTTTTTTGAGCAGGTAAATAAGCTGATTTTAAATAAGATAATTAGATAATATGCACTTGAAAAAAGACCATGCAATAGTTTTTTCTTATTTTAAATGTGACTTGTCTTGTTGGATTGTCAAACTGTCCCATTTACCTCCTCAACCCAAGAACAAATGCACTTATTTTAAGAAAAACGCACCCATTTAGATTTCATTTTTTTCCAGTGAGACAATAAAAGCTGTCAGAAATGAACGGACCCAGTGGTGGTGCTGGCTCGCCAGCAGCAGGGCGGCCATTATTGTTAGTGTTTCTGCAGCGAGTGGTCGGTCGTTTGAGCGTGACGGGGTCGGCCTGGTGGCTGTTCCAACCAATCGATAGCTGGCCATGGAGCTGCGGTGTGGAAACATTTAAGCCTAAAGTGCGTCGCTCCCTCTGGGCTTCAGCGGCTCATTGAGCGTGAAAGCAGCGGCTCTCGGCGGGCCGTTCCATTCTCTCCGCCTCTGATGCTGCAGAGGTTTCAGTTCTGCTGGAAGCTGGAGAACAAGTGAACTTCCAGAAAGAGAAAGCTGCATAATTACAGCTTTCAGAGCCGCTCTGTGTTTTTATCACCTCCAACAAAAGACCCTTCCAACCGGGAGCCTTTTTTATGGCTAACTCTTTGTCTCTCAATGGAGCGGAAAGATCCGGCACCTCTTACTGTACGGCGTGCATTTCAGGCGCTAACATGTAGCAGCAGAACAGAGGTGACCTTTAGAAAGAGCAAAGGGCAGCATGGAGTTTGTAGAAGTGACTTTTCTGCACTAAGCTTTCAACCTTTCCCTTAAACTCGCTTCTCACTTCAAGCATTTTCACTCTGTCCAACTTTAATTGGCTGCATAGCAACAAGACTTGCAGCTGCATTTCCTGCGTTTCTTCCCATTTTGAAGAATCTTCTTTTTTTTATTCTTCAAAACCAAAAAGCTGCATAAAACAAGTGAAACTTAATGGATTTAGCAACCATGGAGGACAGAGAATAGATATTTGTTACTGGATGAAACTGTCCTTAATGAGAACTGGACAGTTTTTGATTTTAGAGTTTCTATTCAGTTTATTTCTATAGCTCCAATTCACATCATGTCATCTCAAGGCACTTTAAAGGTCACCACATCATCCAGTCAGATTGATTCAACATATTGGTTTTGCAACTTTATTAAACTTATTGCTCACCCCTGTAGGGCTGGTAAACATGTTATTTAATCAGATTTAATCAGATTTTCTGTGGGAGATGAAAATGTGACTCGAGCTCAATTCATCCAAAATGATTATGGTGCTTTATGGCACAAGATTAGGAGAAGATCCAGAGCCTATTATGTCTCTGGAGCTGCAGGCTTCAGATCTCTGGGCTCAGCGTTCCCCAACCATCATAACCCATCTTTGAGTTTTCTGGTTGAGCCGATTTGTTGATGAACTTTGTTTGAATTTATGAAGAAACTTTAACAGGAGCCAAGAAGCACTGACGCAGTAACCGACCAGTGTTTATCTAAAGAACCGTGAAGGTTTCTCATTTTTCTGAAGGTCCAAATTTGATCCAGATGGAAGGATCTAGACACAGATACTGAAAATAAACAGAACGGACGGAGATTCTTCCTCCTGTCCACAGATTCAGGTTGGCCTCCTCTCTTCCACCACAGTCTGCATCTGAATATTCTTCATTCTGGTTCAGCATCATCCTCGCTGCAGGATGTTAGGTTTATTCAATGATGATTGTAGAATTAATGTGTGTATGCATATGAAACATTGAGAAAGGAGATGCTTCTCTCTGCCTTGTGATTCACACAGTGGAGCATCCTGTCTTATGACCTGATCTTTCAGAACAATACTCTGTTTTGTAACCATGTGTTATGTTCTGTTAATAAATAAGGCACTGCAAGGAGGGGGGTCGGAGTGAGAGAGTGGGAGTGTTGGGTTTGGCTCTTTCCCCTTCTGCAGAAGCTGTTTGAGAATCCCCTTCTGTGTGAACTCAGTCCTTCTTTTACGAACCTACATTT